TGCTGTTTGGTGCTCATGTTGAAGGGTTTTCCCCACACGTTCTGTTGCCCTCTCACATGGACAGAAAACTCTCCATCAATGATGCAAACAGCATAAAAAACATTTTGGTGGAGAAGGACTGGAATATCGGCTACATTTTAATTTTCTCCCCTCGTTTTCTGTCCTTGTGACACCTTGCCTAAAAGACTGTACTAGGTAGAGGAAGTGTAGGGCAGTATTGCCAAAGGAAACACAATTAGCAGTGAAAACCTGAAAGGAACCTCTATCCAACGATAATAAATAAATCCAAATAAATCCTTGTTCCATCCACTTATTTGTCAATGTTTTTTTATCTTTGCTTTGCTTGCTAAGACCAAGGTAAGCGCCTAGTATAGAATGTACTACATGCTAGTGAAGAGATACTTATGGCAAACAGATAATGAAACTAATTTACGTGTGTGTGTTATCATTTACTTTTAAAGTGGAAGTAAAGTCTACTTTTTAACTTTTACCTACAGGTAAGTATATAATAAGACTTACCTATAGGTACAGTGAATATCTCCCGAACTCGCACTGTTTAGGAGATATTCACATGGGGTGCAACCAGTGAGCATGTGCTTTAAAGGGACGTTTCGGGGGCTCCTATGCACATGCTCCAGAGTTACGTCATCGTCGCCCAGCCACTCATACAGCTGGAGCCAGCGAACCCAGAAGGAAGACTGGGGGAAGATGGAAGGGCTGGGGAGCCATGACCGTGCTGCTCTGGAGGGCTCCATGTGCAGGTAAGTCTGTCATAATGTGTTAGTATGCAGTGTATACTAGTACATTATGACCTAAACCTGCAGGGGGCCTGATTTGTTTCTTATATTTGTGGTGGCTTACTACCACTTTGAAAGACTACTTAATTTTTTTTTGAGTCATGTTAGGGTTACCTAGACAAGAAAATGCCTGGCAGTGCCCCATCATTGGTTGTATCGAGAGGAGTAGTGCCCCATTGTTGGTATCAATGGGATCAATAGTGCCCCGCTGATTGTGCCAGTAGGGGGAATGGTGCCCTATCATTGGTGTCAGTTAGTAGGATAAAAAAGAACAGACAAGGGCGCACTCTCATCGTGCATTACCGTGGTACACCACGTGTTTTAATGAATGAACAAAAGGATGTATACTCACAAACCAACTAAATTAAAAGCAGTGTATAGGGTCCACAAAAAAGTCACAAAGGTGCTGTGTCTAAATGCGGATAAGCTGATGCGTTTCGGGGGCTGAACCCCCTTCCTCAGAGCTCAGTTAGTAGAATAGGCAAGGGAGAATGTCACCAGAACATCGAGGATCACCAATATGGGTCCAAAAGTTTTAATGAACGATCACATAGTTACAACAAGGCAATGTTTCGGAGTCTCGCAAGACCCCTTCTTCAGGCATGTGACGGATCCTGCGAGACTCCGAAATGTTGCCTTGCTGTAACTATGTGATCGTTCATTAAAATTCTCCCCTCCTTCCTAGATTGTAAGCTCCAAGGAGCAGGGCCCTCGAACCCCTCGTGTATCGCATTGTATTGTTACTGTACTGTCTCTCACTATAATGTACAGCGCTGAGCAAACTATTGGTGCTATATAAATACTGTATAATAATAATAATTAAAACTATTGGACCCATATTGGTGATCCTCGGTGTGCTGGTGACATTTTCCCTTGCTGATTCTGTTCGGTTCCAGCCAACGGTCTCTGCAGCACCCACTTATACACACAGCCATTTTTTACTCAGGAACATGTGCGTTTGGATTGTACATTTGCAGTCAGTAAAATAGTGCCCCAAGGGTCAGATAAAGGCAAGCAAAGGGCCACATTTTCGAGACCACTGATGTAGAAGATGACACCCGACAGCTGTTCAGATGTAGGTGCTGACTTTTCCTGGACTCTAACTGGACTAATTTGCCACTTATTGTGACGCCCCTGGAGAGCAACTGACATAGACCACAAGACCAATGAGCCAGTATGACAATTCTAAGAATCCCACGTTAGCCTAGCATCCAGTCATTTCGTTTTGGTCACATGACCAGCTGTAAGACAAATGTCGAATTCCTGTTATTTCATAAGATGGTAAGTTTTGTTCTACTGCATTGAACCTTTATTTTCACTTTGTCAAGATTCTTGGTTCCCTTCATTGCTAGCATTACACAAACTGAAAAGCTCTGTGATCCTCTGCAACCAGAAACCTCACTGTGAACGCAAGCATCATGGGTTTTTGTTTTTTGTCTAGCATTAGTAATATTGTTACAAAGTATTTTACGGCTATCTTTGTCTGGCACAGAAGTGCACTGTGGTCAGATGCCGTGCCAGTCATTTACAGGAATCTCAAACAACACAGTTACAGTATCTCATTCCCTCTCTCCTCTCATTCCCTCTAGTGTCATTATTACAGCCTCTGTTTTCATTTAGTGGCTGCAGTAAATACTTGTTGCGTCATTAAGATAAAGTTAGGCCGATGACACCTAGGGAATTGTTAGTGTTGCTTTAACAGTCAGTGTTTTCTGTGCATATTTGCAATGTTAGTGTACAATAGACTTATTATTCAGTGCATTCCAAACTCAGCATTTTTTGTAAATTAGGCTCCATGTACACGGGACACTTCCGAACGATGGAAACTGACTGCTGGAAAACGTCTGTTTAGCCACGTTTGCATACTGCGTTTATGAGCGTTTGCGTTTAGAAGTGTTTGCATTTAGAAGCGTATTTTAAAGATAACCTCAGGAGACGTTCCAAAATGCCCAGAATGCACTGAAAAACAGTAGAAACTTAACTACTTCAGACATTTAGAGAGAAATATAGAGAGCAGAAGCAGAGAGAGCAGTATTTATTGAGATTAGCTGTCTTTTTTATTTTTTTCTTGTGGTGTTTAGATGTGTTCCAGCTCATTTCTGTGCAGAAATTATTGCAGCATTGTCTAACATATTTTCTTTCATGCGAAACCTCCAAGTATGGTGTACTGGGTCCATTTGAGTACCGGGAAAAAGCTTTGCATGTATTTTTCATGATGAAAAAAGGCTCTGGACAGCATCTGGAAATGGAAGAGTTAAAAACATTTTCCAAACACTTATAAACGCAGTTAGCCGCAATTACAGGCATTTAAAAATGTTTGGCGTTTGAAACGCTGATAAAATCTACTCCTGAACACGTTTCGTGAGTTAAAAAAAACGACTGTAAACTCAACTGCCTGTAAACGATTGTAAACTCAACTGTCTGTAAAACGACTGTAAACTCAACTGCCTGTAAACGACTGTAAACTCAACTGCCTGTAAACGACTGTAAACTCAACTGTCTGTGAACGACTGTAAACTCAACTGCCTGTAAACGATTGTAAACGCAACTGCCTGTAAACAACTAAACTCAACTGTCTGTAAACGACTGTAAACTCAACTGCCTGTAAACGACTGTAAACGACTGTAAACTCAACTGTCTGTAAACGACTACGTGTACATGGACACATAGGAAAACATTAGGGAGAGTTCAGGGGCTGATGAAAAAAATATGCAGAAAAGCTCCTAAATGTGAGTTTATCAGCTGCAGTGTACATGGAGCCTTAAAATGATCATTTGGCATTCTTACTACCCAACACACACATGAATGGGCTGTCCTTTCATACTGTCTCCATCCCCACTGTTAGCAGTCATGTTACCTGGTTTATTCATTTATTACATGGAAAATTAAAGCAGAACTCCAGTCAAATAGGCAGTTAAATACCCAGTTGGAAAAGTTTTGCTGTTTTGTGATATACACACACCTGCCAGGCAACATAGCCAGTATGGGGACACCAATGTTCTCTGTTGCAGCACTGCAGCTTTCCGTGTTGCGTTCACTATGCTGGGATTCTCCCTGTGCTGTCCTGCTCTTGTAAGCTGTCATCTGGCTTTCAGTTTCTGAAATGACAATAAGGGAGATTTACTAAAATTGGTGCACTCAGAATCTGGTGCAGCTGTGCATGGGAGCCAATCAGCTTCTAACTTCAGCTTGTTCAATTAAGCTTTGACAATAAAACCTGGAAGCTGATTGGCTTCTATACAAAGATGCAAGATTTTGCACAATGCAGTGCAAAACGTATTTTAAAATGTTCAGTACAATAGAGCTCAATTGACATACCTTGAATATGCGCCAACTCTGATTTTTACTGCACCGGATTATGGGAAGATAATATAAAAACAGATTTCAGGCACTTATACTAGTGTTACTAGGTTAGAGTTTAATTTTTTCTTTGCTTGGAATTCCACTTGAAGCCCAAAATGTGCTCTTGGAAGCAGGATTCTACTTATCTATAGAGAATCTTGTGACTCCTCTTATAAAAAAAAAAACCCCTTAACCTATTTCACTTAGATTCTTTTCCAGGCCGCAGCGGTTTCTGATTCCCAAAGGGTTTTTTTGTTAGGTCCTGAACAAATTTTGCAACCAATTAAATTTACAACTTTTATTTCTACAGTGAAACCCCATTAATGGGTAAACTGTATCCTGTCCCTGCCTGCAATTTTAGAGCCAATTTACATTTTTTGCTTTGCATATTGTGTGCAATAAGGTGCATTGCGTTAAGACAGCCTATTGAAATGAATGGGCTGCCAATGCACCCTGATCTGCCAAAAATGTTTTCCTTTGTTCTAATGCTATTGGGGTGCCATTCAAACTGAATGGACTTGCAACATACTGTATGTCTGCACATTGAGGTAATACAAGTGTTATTACAACGTGAAAGTCTGAATGGGCACTTAATGTTGATATAGATCACGGGTGTCAAGCTGGCGGCCCTACAGCTGTTGCCAAACTACAAGTCCCATGAGGCCTTGCAAGATTGACAGCTACCAAAGGCATAGGGATGATGGGACTTGTAGTTTTGTAACAGCTGGAGGGCCACCAGTTTGACACCCCTGGTTTAGATGAATATTGAAGGACACAAATTAAACAAAGATATGTCCCTGTTTTTGACTACACTTTTTGCATAGTAAAATTGCTCACAACTCCACTTGATTTGTTTTGCAGGTCCAACTATGATGACTGGAGGCCAGCTCTGGCAAGTCTGCTGCAACCCATCCCTTTTCCCAAAGAGTGAGTACAGAACCATGATACCTGTAATGTGTATGTGTGTCTGGGAGCAAAGAGAAGGTTTACTTTGTTAGTAATCAATTTTTATAAACAAAATCAAAAAGCGCAGTGCTAAAAAATGTATATGTCACAGGCAGAGCCATACATGGCCTTCTAAATTTGAATGAAAACAGAGTGTTTCCAGGGAGAAGCACCCACAATTCAGATGAGTGGAGCAGTGACATATTTACCGCGAGGCAAACAAGACCTTTGCCTAATGCGGCAGTTTTTTTTTTTGGGGGGGGGGGGTTGCCAACTGGGGACCTGGTGAGGCTCCGCCATGGAATCTGAAGAGGCTGCACACTGCTGGAGGTTGTAAGCTTCCTTCACAAGAGAGTGAGGTCAGTGCTTGACTAACACACTCTTTTTTTTTTTTTTCTCTCTCTCTCTGCTGCAGAGAGAAACATACAAGGGATCGGTTCCGGCAATTTGCCAGCCCCTTCCATTCCTGAATGAACACAATGAGTGATCGGTACTGATCACTCGCTGTGTTCATTCATAACTGAAGCATAGTAAACTGTGTATATTTGTGGGGATGGGGGGCTGTTACGTTGGCTGTATGGGGCCGGGGGGGGGGGGGGGGGGGGTCTGAGTTTTGTTTGGCACAGAGTGGCGTTGGTGGGACCTGGTGATGGTGGGGGGCACCTAATTTCAGTGGTGGCAGGGACCTGGAAGCCGGGTGGGGGGCTGGGGTTGGGTACCCAATCTTAGGGGAGCAGGCGCTGGTGTTGGTAGGGGGGAGCTAAATACACCACTGGAGTGGAGGCTGGGTTTGAGGGTGGGGGATGGGGGAAAGTGGCCATGTTACATCCTTAAATATGGGTGAAACATGGTCAGAAAGGTGGACTCTCCTTTTAAAGAACTGCCTGGAGGTGAGGTTTCAGGACTTACTGTCATGACACGTCCCAGAGACCTTTTACAGTGTGTGAAGCGTGTTACCTTAGTGTATAATTTGAATGTCCCAAGCCATATTTACTAATCACCCAACAGGTTATATAGAGCACGTTTACATGTTTTGATAGAGAAGAAGCTGCTGTGTTCGCTTTGGAAAAGCTTGGGTCCTTGAGGATCTGACTAATGAGCGTTTGTGTTAGAAAAAAAAAAAAACACACCGCGGAGAATAAAAATTATCAGCCGTAATAGCCCCATTTATCAACCCACTCTTCCCAGGAGGCTCCGTTCGTTTGCATGTGGATCATCTCCTGCATAGGAGTTAAAGTTGCTGGCTTTGAAAACAGACTGGCGTCATTTGGCCAAATTTGTCTTTTAGTAGTTCTCATAGGAATGCATTATTCCACTGCCAATGATGCAACCTAGCTTGCACAGTGACCCATAATTGCTTTGTCACTCTCATTAATGGAGATGTGACCAGGGCTTAATTAAGTCACTTGGGTTCTCTGACAAAACAAAAGTATGTGACAGAAGAAAGTTTAAATGGTGTTTGTGTGCGGTCAGAGCTTCATAACAGAATGGAATAAACAGACTAAAATAGGATGGGTCGCCTGACAGCAAATTTCCAAACATGTGATGTTCAAAGTGTTTTTATAGTTTGATTTTTTTTTTTTTTATGTTGTATATCTCCAAAGCCTTCCTTCTATTACTTTCAAGACTTCTATGTATATGCTATTTTAAAAGATTTTTTCTCTTTCTGATCCTGTTTTAATAATTGAAAGGCAAATTTATTATATGATGCAGAATGCAGCTTCTGATTTTTTATTGTTTTTTTTACCCATTGCAGTGTTTATATTGTTTTTTTTTATTGGCCACATAACTAAATATTTCCTTTTATATCTTGATACCACATCCTAGTAACAAGATACTGAATTCAATATTTTTTAGGTATTTTCTAGACCATTGACCTTAGAATAGTAATTTTAAGCAAACAATAATTTAAAAAATATTTTTATTTTTTTTACAATTCTACAAAAGTATACACAACATTTATTGTTAGCATTTATTGTGCATTAAGGTAAAAGAAAAACACCTGCATGCAGTTACTCCCTAGCCCCCCTTGTACTTGCCTGAGCAAGATTTCAATCCAGCAATGTGCACAAGAGCAAAGGCTCTCTGTGCTCTCTCCCTCCCCATTGGTACAGAGACAGCAGCAGGAGCCATTGGCTCTCGCTGCTGTCAGTCACAGATAATGAGAAGGGAGCAGTCAATAGATGCAGACAGCAAGGCTCGGGAGCGAGCCCACACGAGTGCCCTCATATTTTTTGTTTTTCCTGCATGAGGGCGCATAACTAAATGTGCCCTTTATATCTTGACATTGCATCCCAGTAACATAAGATACTAAATAAGTAAGGTAGGGATTTCTTTAGGTGTCACACCATTCACAAAGAATATTTTACCCCAAAAAACATTTAAAAATAATACATTTAATCTAAAATTCTATAAAAGTATGCACAGAATTAATTAAACGTTCATAAAAGAATAGGGTGTTATTGTCACTGGTCATAGCACAATGACATGAATTATCATATGTTATTTCAATACATTTACCATTTACAGTTCGATGTGCTGACTCTGACATGTAAGGCAGACAGACTTTATCTTGCAGAATGCATAGTTGTCTTGGTTGGTGGGAAGGTGGTGAATTGTTGTGTTTCTCAGACCCTATCTGCTTCATCAAACCACATGGGAATATCTAGTCACAATATTAAATGTATTCATCAATTATGTTACATTTATTTATCAATACACAAATATCTTATCCATACATATTTATTTATTTCAGGTACTTCTATAGCACCATCAATTTACGCAGCGCTTTACACATATACAGTCATGGCCGAAATTGTTGGCACCCTTGATATTTCTCCAGGAAATCATGTATTTCTCACGAAACGTATTGCATTAACACATGTTTTGCTATACACATGTTTATTCCCTTTGTGTGTATTGGGACAAAACAAAAAAAGGGAGGAAAGAAAGCAAATTCGACATAATGTCACACAAACCTCCAAAAATGGGCTGGACAAAAGTATTGGCACCCTTTCACAACTGCGGATAAATAAGAATGTTACAAGCATGTGATGCTCCTGTAAAACTCACCTGGGGCAAGTAACAGGTGTGGGCAATATAGAAATCACACCTGAAAGCAGATAAAAAGGAGAGACGTTCACTTAACCTTTGCATTGTGTGTCTGTCTGTGCCACACTAAGCATGGACAACAGAAAGAGGAGACGAGAACTGTCTGAGGACCTGAGAACCAAAATTGTGGCAAAATATCAACAATCTCAAGGTTACAAGTCCATCTCCAGAGAACTAGATTTGCCTTTGTCCACAGTGCGCAACATTATCAAGAAGTTTGCAACCCATGGCACTGTAGCTAATCTCCCTGGTCGTGGACGGATGAGGAAAATTGATGAAAGATTGCAACGCAGAATAGTCCGGATGGTGGATAAGCAGCCCCAAACATGTTCCAAAGACATTCAAGCTGTCCTGCAGGCTCAGGGAGCATCAGTGTCAGCGCGAACTATCCGTCGACATTTAAATGAAATGAAACGCTATGGCAGGAGACCCAGGAGGACCCCACTGCTGACACAGAGACATAAAAAAGCAAGACTACAGTTTGCCAAAATGTACTTGAGTAAGCCAAAAGCCTTCTGGGAAAACGTCTTGTGGACAGATGAGACCAAGATAGAGCTTTTCGGTAAAGCACATCATCATTCTACTGTTTACCGAAAACGGAATGAGGCCTACAAAAGAACAAACACACAGTACCTACGGTAAAATATGGTGGAGGTTCAATGATGTTTTGGGGTTGTTTTGCTGCCTCTGGCACTGGGTGCCTTGACTGTGTGCAAGGCATCATGAAATCTGAGGATTACCAAAGGATTTTTGGGGTCGCACTGTAGGGCCCAGTGTCAGAAAGCTGGGTTTGCGTCCAAGATCCTGGGTCTTCCAGCAGGACAATGACCCCAAACATACGTCAAAAAGCACTCAGAAATGGATGGCAAAGAAGCGCTGGAGAGTTCTGAAGTGGCCAGCAATGAGCCCAGATCTAAATCCCATTGAAACACTGTGGAGAGATCTTAAAATTGCTGTTGGGAAAAGGTGTCCTTCCAATAAGAGAGACCTGGAGCTGTTTGCAAAGGAAGAGTGGTCCCAAAATTCCGGGGTGAGAGGTGTCAGAAGCTTATTGATGGTTATAGGAAGCGACTGATTTCAGTTATGTTTTCCAAGGGTGTGCAACCAAATATTAAGTTAAGGGTGCCAATACTTTTGTCCAGCCCATTTTTGGGGTTTTGTGTGACATTATGTCATATTTGCTTTTCTGCCTCTGTTTTATATTTGTTCCAATACATACAAAGGGAATAAACATGTGTATAGCAAAACATGTGTTAATGCAATACCTTTTTTGTGTGAAATACTTGATTTTCAGGAAAAATATCAAGGGTGCCAACAATTTCGGCCATGACTGTATATTGTACATTCACATCAGTCCCTAACCCTCAAGGGGCGTACAATCTAAGGTCCCTAACTCAAATCCATACATACACACTAGGGCCAATTTTAGACAGGATCCAATTAACCTACCAGCATGTCCTTGGAGTGTGGAAGGAAACCGGGAGTACCCGGAGGAAACCCCATGCAGGCACAAGGAGAACATGCAAACTCCAGGCAGGTGGTGCCGTGGTTGGGATATGAACCAACAACCCTAGTACTGCCAGGCGGAAGTGCTAATCGTTTAGCCACTGTGCTAATAGTTCTTGTAATGATTCTGGGAGAGGAAATGAAAAGGTTTGGGTGTCTTCGAGACACCAATCAGCTTTTAATTTCAGCTTCTTTAATTAAGATTTGACAATAAGCCCTGGTTCACATATATGCAGCCATGCGGGCCATGTTTTGCGCAGGCACAAAAGCCCATTTGAATGGACGCCCGTGCCTCGGGACATGCAGGGAAGAAGTCCCTGCACTTCTTTGGAAACCGCAGCCTGCATGGGAACCTCGGTTCCCAGTGCGGTTGCGATTTCTAGTGCGGGCGGCGTGCCATTAGAATGGCACCCGCCCATGGGTCCGCATTTTTCTGTGCGGGTGGTGCAGCTGCACAGATTTTTGTGTGGATCCGCAGCGGCACCACCCGCACAGATGTGAACCTGGCCTCATGCACACTGGACGTTTTTACAGCTGCTGTTTTTGGCGTTTGATGTTTTTTTTCTACAGCCAGTAAGCCCCCCAGCATGTTATCCTATGTGTCCATGCACACATAGACTGTAATCAACGTTTTTTGGCTCGACGTTTTTTGGCCAAAGAAAAAACCCAGGACTAGTGGGTTTCTAGAGGAGTTTTTTTTTAGCTGTAAAAACACTGGAACGCTGAAAAACGGCATTTTTGTTTTTTGACCAAAAGACCTCTTTTTTTTGTTTGGTAAAAAAAATGCTAAAACTGCAAACACGGGAAATTGCCACTAATCGCAGCAAAAAGCCACTAAATGCTAATGCAAAAATACAAAAAAAAGAGCTGAAAAACTCACGGTGTTAACGTGACTTTATACAGCTAATTATATTAAAACCTCCTGCGCTTCAGATGAAAAAAACACATACACTAAGCTGCCAACACCCTCCTTTTAACCAAAAAGTGCATATATAGAAATAAGAAAAATTGGTGTAGCGCTAAAGCAAATGCCACTAAACATACATATACATATATAAACAAGTAAAAAGGGTTAAAGATGCTTATAAATAATCATGCATATAAAAACCTATTGCATATCCCCTAATGGGGAAACGTGACTATATGCTTGTGATGGTTGCACACAACACTATGCAAAGGGATAATATACTTCAACAAGTGACAAAGGTGAATATATTGCAGTCCACTTCACACAAAGACTGTGATCCTTTTAAAAGGCGTGAGAGTGCCACTGGTGCCGCAATCCAAAAATGGTTTGAGTGCCTCCTCACCTCCCCGCACTGACCACAAGGGCCAATACGCCTTTGCACCTTATAAGGTATATTCCTCGGATGTCAGCCGATACAGGTCCACACTGGATGCTACCTCAGGCACTGTTATCCAAAAAGCCACCTCCAGCTGCTATATAGTGGTGGTAATATACCACCAGATGATGCTCAGAGACATAAGAAGAGACTTCCCATAGCGTGATACCGCAATATTTATTGATAAAATATATATATATAAAAAATGCCCCACTCACATGTCCACAAACAGTATAAAGCCTTATGTAAATCCTCCTGTATCCTAGTACTGTGGGTGTACCCGGAGTCCCAATATGGCGCGTACGTCGGAAGTGACGTCACCGCGTACCGAAGTGTCGTCAGGGCGTACCAACGCGTTGCGTCACGGATAGCACGTGAGTTCATCAGGCCCTGATGAAGTCACGTGCTATCCGTGACGCAACACGTTGGTACGCCCTGACGACACTTCCAGTACGCGGTGACGTCACTTCCAACGTACGCGCCATATTGGGACTCCGGGTACACCCACAGTACTAGGATACAGGAGGATTTACATAAGGCTTTATACTGTTTGTGGACATGTGAGTGGGCATTTTTATATATATATATTTTATCAATAAATATTGCGGTATCACGCTATGGGAAGTCTCTTCTTATGTCTCTGAGCATCATCTGGTGGTATATTACCACCACTATATAGCAGCTGGAGGTGGCTTTTTGGATAACAGCGCCTGAGGTAGCATCCAGTGTGGACCTGTATCGGCTGACATCCGAGGAATATACCTTATAAGGTGCAAAGGCGTATTGGCCCTTGTGGTCAGTGTGGGGAGGTGAGGAGGCACTCAAACCATTTTTGGATTGCGGCACCAGTGGCACTCTCACGCCTTTTAAAAGGATCACAGTCTTTGTGTGTGAAGTGGACTGCAATATATTCACCTTTGTCACTTGTTGAAGTATATTATCCCTTTGCATAGTGTTGTGTGCAACCATCACAAGCATATAGTCACGTTTCCCCATTAGGGGATATGCAATAGGTTTTTATATGCATGATTATTTATAAGCATCTTTAACCCTTTTTACTTGTTTATATATGTATATGTATGTTTAGTGGCATTTGCTTTAGCGCTACACCAATTTTTCTTATTTTTATACAGCTAATGTTATCAAAACACCCGTGTGCATGAGAGCTAAAACCTGGAATCTGATTGGTTTCTATGCAGAGTTGCACCAGATTTTTCACACTCTAATTTTACTAAATAACTCCCAAAGTATTAAAAACCTGACTAAAAAAAGAAAAAAAACTCTATTGATGTGTGGCAACTGTTATATTGTTACTCCATGGGGAGATTTTAATATCCGTTCTTATATAGATGTCTAAGGTCACTGTCCATCCAAGATTTATCCTGTGTTGAGCCTTGGTGAAGTAGAAGTGGTGTAGCCCCAAACTGCTTTCGATGATTTTATGACCTATTTACCAGCTATTAATATTACATTGGGATTCTTTCATTCGTTTTTGTTCTGGCATTCCTTTGTGAATTTCCAGTTAGGGATTCTAAGGCCGGCCATACATGGGTTGATTTTCGAACGATTTTTTGTTTGAAAATCGGACCTAAGAATAATCGGCCAATTTTCGCTCTGTTAGTGGGGCAAAGGCACCGGACGATTTTCATGGTTCCTCCCCATTTCGTTTATCGGGCGTGCTGGAAAATTTGTGAAAAACGACCAATTTTCAAAGTCATTGGTGGCACCATCGGATTACAGAACGAATGATGTGTTCGGAATTTGACCCATGTATGGCCTGCTTAACCCCTCACTCTACTTAAGAAAAAAAAGTGCTCTTTTTGCTGTCCCCATCAAAAAGATATCTCATCACTTCCTGTCCCTGGGACCCCCTGGATGCCAAGACAAGAAGTGGGGGTTAAATCTTCCTAACAGGTTCAAAAACAGAAATAAATAATCTGCTATTGGAAAGATACCTTACAGGTTATTGCTGTTTCTCACACATGGGCAATATAGCAGTGTTGGCTATCCTTGTGTGTCTCAAAGCTTTGGAACCCTTCATCCATATTGACACAGTGGATAAATAGCTTTTTCTTTTGTTTTGTGATTCTCAGTTTACCCGTTTTAACCTAATGTGTTTTTTTGCTTTTTGCAGAGCTCTTGCCCATGAAACATTTACAAAGTAAGTATATAAATGAGATCTATAAAATCTTTCTTCATAAATCTTGGCCAAAATGTATTCATCTTGTAAGCTCGAAAGAGTAGACCCTCTAACCCCACATGTACTGTTGTTGTTGCTGTTCTGTTTCTTGTATTGTCCCCCCCCCCCCCCCCCTCTGTTGTACAGCGCTGAGTAAACCCTTTGGCGCTATATAAACTCAATGTAATAATAATAATAATTTATCTTTTTAGTAAAAAAGAATAAATAACCCAAATTAGTTTTATAACCAAAAATTTGAATTTTTCAGGGTTTTTTTTTTTTACATTTTTATTTTATTTTTTATATTATTATTTATGTTGTTTTGGGTTTTTTTTTTAAACATACTGTCACCCTAGCAGTACAGTGTCACTATAGTGACACTGTTTCTACTTGTGGGGAGTGATGAAGATTTTTTTTTTTTTTTTTTTTTACACTGATTACTTTTACACCCATAAAGGTTGAAAAGCAATCATTTCTGCTCTCTCTGGCTGCACTCCTGCAGCCATTGAGAAATACTGTGAGAGCTGTGATTGGTCACAGCTTGTCACATGGCACAAGGCTGCTGTGAATAGCCTTGTACCATGTGACCTCTGTGATCATTCACAGATTTCACAAGTAGTAAGCAATGATGTCAGGAAGTGACATCTTGTTTACTACTATTCATGTGATCACTGATTGGCCAATCAGTGATCACATGAATCGGGACCTCACACAAAGGTCCCGTACAGCGAGCGCTGCACAGGCATTGGATGCGGGGGGACGTTTAGAAACATCCACCCGCAAAGGCAGCGGTCCCGTCCAGCCATTTATCTACATGGGCCAGACGGGAAGTGGTTAAGCTATGCCATGTGACTAAGAGAAAACCCCCTTCTCCCATGACTGATTGTGGGATTTGTAAATAAAAGCACCAAAAGTAAAGCTGCCTCTATTCTGAGTGATAATACAGTAAAAAAATGTTACCTTCTCTGAACAGTACATGCCAAAATAATCCAAAGCTATAGGCTTCTGAAGTGTTAGGCAATGTGGGCTTGATACTGCCTGTTGCTGCCTCATAAATCTCTTTTTTGTTTAATCGGACTGCAGATGACATCATAGGCATTTCTTGACTCTTACAGAAAAAGTTGAGAATTGCCTAAAACTTCGTCTGCATGTCCGATTATCCAATGGGAGGTTTACAAGCCAGCAATAGGCAAGATCAAGCCCACATTTAGAGAAAAAGTTGGGCTTGATCTTGCCTGTTGCTGCCTCGTACACTTCCCTATTGGTTAATTGGACCACAGATGAATTTATAAGCAATTCTCTGCTTTTTTTTTAAAAAAAAAGATGGGCTTGATCCTGCATTTTGCTGCCTCGTAAACCTCCCTATTGGTTACTTGGACTGAGGATCATTTTGAAGGCCCAACAGGGAAGCCTTGGATGATGGAAGGGACAGGGTCAAATTCAGTTTGCACTAGAATAGTGAAGATTTGAATGTAACTAATCTAAAATTCCCACCTCTGTTTAGGCATGTTTTCTTAGTATACTTTCTGTATCACCCAGGGTTGAGGTAGTATCACTTTAACTGCACAAGTGACAGGGCAACAACTGTTGTCATATTATTTTGGGTCCCTATAGCCTATATAGCTGATAAATGAAAGGGACTACCAGATTTATATATATATATATATATATATATATATATAATATACACACATTATTTTATATATATCATATATATCATTTCTATACAATTTTCTTGAGAGTTACCAGCAACTGCATAGTGCAAAGACCTTCCTAAACAATCCATTTTATTTATATGTTATTATGTCAACCTTGGAACTATATAGTTTTTAACTTGTGTGGCCAGCTTTAGCTTCAAAGAAGATTTTGTTGGCTCGTGTACTAAAATCCACATAAAATAGATCTCTGGCCAAAAATATAAAAAGATATCCAGTGTAACTCTGTAACACCTTGACATTTCCCCATGTTTTGTGAGCTCTTAAAGTGTTACTAACCCACTACGGTAAAATCAGTCTGTATATATGCAGTAAAGCATGCTTGTTATACTCACTGTGGATCCTAAGGGGTTAATCTTCTGCATTGTGCAAAAAGGATGTTTTGATCCTGTTATCTCTGATCCTCCCCTTCTTCCACAGTCCCCAATCCATTTGCTGATAGAACAGAGCCTTGGGGGGGGGCAAGTTTTACATGCTCAGTTTAGTGTGTATTGCTACAGAGGTTTTTATTTTCTTGGGCGAATGCATGTGATCAGCACAGGGCCAATCAGCACTGTCCAGGCAGTAGGTCAGAGGTCCTGCAGCCTCATAGGACAGTCAGAGGAGAATGAAAGTGCCTCCTACGAGATTTAACCAGTGCTCTGCTGAACACTGATAGAAGTCACAAGACTGCTCTAACTGCTGATGAGAAAAAAGTATTTAGCAGTTTGTTTACTAAAATAATTGCATTTCCATGTTGTGTGTACTGTGGGAGACCAGATATAGTGAATGCAGGGTCCTGGGAGACCAGATATAGTGAATGCAGGGTCCTGGGAGACCAGATATAGTGAATGCGGGGTCAGGGGAGACCAGATATAGTGAATGCGGGGTCTGGGGAGACCAGATATAGTGATGCAGGGTCCGGGGAGACCAGATATAGTGAATGCGGGGTCAGGGGAGACCAGATATAGTGAATGCAGGGTCCTGGGGAGGATATAGTGAATGCAGGGTCCTGGGTTTAGTAACACTTTAACTTTCTGTTTAAGCAGACAGTGATTTATTAGAACTGGAGAGTGCAAACTCTGGGGCAGCTGTTCATGGTAGCCAATCAGCTTCTAAATTCAGCTTTAACAAAAAAAGACTGGAAGTTGATTGGTTTCTAAAGAGCTGCACTTGATTCTAAAGTCGCCAGTTTTAGTAATCAACCCCAGTGCTTCTGCTGTACCCCATTTATGGTACGGAGACAGGAAGGTGTTCTGTAGTTTAGTAGGGATGAACTGGACAGGGTTGACAGTGACAGTGGGATTTCAGTAAAGTACAGACACTGTACCTGACTTTGTAAAGTCTGTTCCTTTTGCAAGGAAAATTTCCTTGTTGAGTGTGGGGAAAATTCACTTTGCAAAAAATAACCAATCACATGCAGTAAAAATAAAAAATAATTAAAAAAACATTTTTTTTTTGCTTGCACATGATTCAGTGATGGAGATCCACAGAGCTTCACCTCATTCTAGGTGAAAAAAAAAACTGCTAAGTGAAAATTCCTTTGCAGAGTGAACAGCCTTTACCTCTTTAGTAAACCAAACCAATTATGTTATTAGTCCAAAAAGGAAGCTAGCAGCCCACTGCCCAGGTATACACTTTAAATGAGATCCAGTTTTCATTTTAGAATGTCTATTAAAGCTGAACTGTGGGAATTAGACAGAATCTACCCGTGCAGTGCCCCATACTTGTTTAGTTTAGGGGTTGCAAGGGTAAGATGTATAGCTTGCCTTATAGCTTAGTCCTGCAGGTTCCAGCATTGCTCTATTCTACCCAAAGCTCCAAGCTGTGGGCAGTCCCTTGGCATCATCATGTACTGTGAAGGGCTGTTAACCCTTCGTTGCATGCGGTTTGCGACCTGAAGCACCTTCAAGAGGATGCTATGTTACATGGATGCAGGAAGCCTGCTGGAGGAAGGTCGCATGGATGGAGGAAGCCTGCTGGAGCCAGGAATAAGGTATTATATCTTAGCCCTGCACTAAGCCAGCCCTGTAACTATTGCAGTGCAGGGGAGGTATGGGGGGCACTATGAGGGTAGATTTTTTCTAACTTCTGGAGTTCAGCTTTAAGCCCTTTGGATTTTCAGCTTTAATCCTTTTACATTCAGTGACCCAGACCATGTCTATGTAATCGCTGCAGAACTTCCCAGCTGAGCTTGCTAACTAACCTGTGTGTTTTTTTTTTTCATCCTGCCCATGCAGGGAGCTGAAATACGTCATTCAGAGATTTGCAGAGGACCCCAGGCAAGAGGTAAGAATTTCCCCTGGGGGGAAGGAATGGTGCAGAGAAAGAAATGACTTATCTTGTTAAAGGTTATTGTGGTGCAGCTGAGAAAAAAAAAAGCTTGTTTTTGCTTTGCATTTATTATCAAGTGTGTTGCAGGCACAAGCTAATTAGCTGGGTAATACAATCTTAAAATATATTGGAAATGTATATATACCCGTTCAGAGCTTGACACAATCATCGTGTCAGAGAGATACAAAACGGACACTCCGCTCTAAAATGAAGTTTTAGTTACAGGTGGAGCCTGGTGGGCCGAGTCAGCCCATTGCTTCTTATATGTTACATAGTTAGTCTGGCTAAAAAAAGACATCCAGTTCAACCATAGCAAAAAAAAAATTATAATCCTTTACCCACAGTTGATCAAGAGAAAGGCAAAAAAAAACCCAGCAAAGCATGATCCAAATTGCTTCTGCTGGGAAAAAAATTCCTTCTTGATCCCCCGAGAGGCAATCGGATATTCCCTGGATCAACTTTACCTATAATTGTTAGTATCCAGTTATATTCTGTGTATCCAGGAAAGAATCCAGGACTTTTTTGAATCAATCCACTGAGCTGGCCAGAACCAACTCTTGAGGGAGTCTATTCCACATTTTCACAGCTCTCACTGTGAAGAAACCTTTCCGTCTTGGATTCTCCAACAATGATAGCTCCTGTGGCCCTTTCACATGGGTGGGATCTGCCTACTCAGTGGGGGATCTGTCTGCTGATCCACACTGACAGGTCCATGTCCGCTTCGCTTGCATAGAGCGGACACAGCCCTCTTTTCTCTATGGAATGTAACCAGACTGCATGTCTGTTTACATCCGACTATCATTCGATCTGATACGCTAGATCAGGGGTGTCCAAACTATGGCCCTCCAGGTGTTGAGGAACTGCAAGTCCCATGAGGCCTTGCAAGACTCTGACATCCACAGGCAAGACACCCAGAGGCAGAGGCATGATGGGACTTGTAGTACTTCAACAGCTGGAGGGCCATAGTTTGGTCACCCCTGCGCTAGATGGAAGGGGGGAATGGATCCCTCATCCGTCTGTTTTTAGCAGATCGGATCAGATGCTGGTGGGTGTAAACAGACACATGTCTGTTTACATCCCCTTCCCCATAGAGAAAAAAGGGTTGTCCAATCGGTCCACCCGTGCGAAAGGGCCCTTATGCTATAATTCTTGTTGGCCTGGGAGTCTTGGATGTTCTCGCACACTTTTGAGTGTTCCAGCATCTCCTGTTGTGTTCCAGTATCTTCTGTTGCATTACGTTAAATTAAAAAAAAAAAAAAAATACCCATTAGGGAGACTGAAATCTTCAGAATAGCCATAAAGTGAAGAAATCTCACCTATAGACTCCCTAAGAGAGGGGAGGTAGGTTTAACTCTTCAAGATCTACCAAAAACAGAATATCAGTTTTGGATGGAAGCTTCCTTTAATGTAAAATGCAATCCAGCAATAATCACCTTTATAAACTATGTGCAGGCTACACCCCATCTATGATCTTTTGCTATTTTCACACTCTGACTACTGTATTGGGATTACTAAGAGGTAGTCAGCTGAGTGTCAGAAAATAACATCAGGATGAGACAATAATCTTTAATATCTTCAGATGTAAAATTCTGCTAGTTTGAGGTGAATCCAGCACAATAGAAAGTAATGACATTTCACGCACTCTACTTCTGTTACTGCATAAAGGAAGTGGAAAGCTATCATCTGACTTCTGGCCATTTCCTTGAGGTTGATGTTGGGTCATGCTACATGCTAACGCAGCTTCACTGAGGTTTATAAACCTCTGACATGAAAAATGAGCAAAGCATATTCCTCTACACTGTGTCCTTGCCTCAATCCTGGTCTTTTCTGGCTGGTTATGTGAACATTACAGAATCCCTAGGGATGGACCAGCTCCCATGACTAGCGCACAAAAGGTGATTGACAGCCTCAGCTGTGCATGTTTCCCTGTGGGATTGTGTAGTGGGGGGGTGTCTATTCATCAGCAACCTGCTCTTTGCTGTGCAGAGTGTGACATCAGAACCCCACCTCCTAACTTCTGGAGCTCAGAAATGCTGTGTAAAATATGTGTTTTAGGAGCCTGTGGAGAAGAAAGGGCTTCAGAGAAACAGGTACAACTTATGTACAAGGATTTATTTTATCTCTGTATATCACCTGAGGCCAATTGCTTCAGTAGCTATATGTAATGGTTCACAACAACTTTAATATTGAGGCTGTAAGATCTGGAACCTCTTACTCACCTGCAGTGCCCCCTACTGGTGAAATGGTCGATCAGATGCATTGTCATGCCCTGTATTTTGCCATTCCGGTCAGTTTAAAAAAAAAAAAAAAAGGAATTACCTCTAAGCATGTAAGTGCACTTCAATACACACATTTAGGTGTGAACAAGTCTTGAGGCCTACTCAATGTCATTTAGCAAGTTTCTAAAGAAATGATTGTCTGTGTTGCCCCATAAACACTAATGTTTCTGAGATATTGTATATATAACATATTTAACGCATTCAATTGTGCAGATAGATAGATAGATAGACTATATAGCCAAAAGTATTGGGATGCTTGCCACGTGAACTTTAATGGCATCCCAGTCTTAGTCCGTAAGGTTCAATATTGAGTTGGCCCCGCCCTTTGCAGCTATAACAGCTTCAACTCTTCTGGGAAGGCTGTCCACAAGGTTTAGGAGGGTGTCTATGGGAAGGTTTGACCATTCTTCCAGAAGCACATTTGTGAGGTCAGGCACTGATGTGAAGGCCTGGCTCTCAGTCTCCGCTCTAATTCATCCCAAAGGTATTCTATTGGGGTCAGGACTCTGTGCAGGCCAGTCAAGTTCCTCCACCCCAAATTCGCTCATCCATGTGTTTATGGACCTTGCTTTCTGCACTGGTGCGCAGTCATGTTGGAACAGGAAGAGGCCATCCCCAAATTATCCCCACAAAGTTGGGAGCATTAAATTGTCCAAAATGTCTTGGTATGTTGACACCTTAAATGTTCCCTTCACTGACAAAAAGAGGGGCCAAGCCCAACCCCTGAAAGACAACCCCACACCATAATCTCCCCTCCACCAAACTTTGCACTTGGCACAATGCAGTCAGGCAAGTACTATTCTCCTGGCAACCACCAAACCTAGACAAGACCACCGTATTTGCTGACAGAGAAGCGTGATTGGTCACTCCAGAGAACACGTCTCCACTGCTCTCGAGTCCAGTTGGCGGCGTGCTTTACACCTCTGCATCCGACACTTTTCATTACATTTGGTGATGTAAGGCTTGGATGCAGCTGCTTGGCCATGGAAACCCATTCCATGAAGCTCTCTACGCACTGTTGTTGTGCTAATCTGAAGGCCACATGAAGTTTGGAGGTCTTTAGCTATTGACTCTGCAGACAGTCTGCAACTTCTGCGCACTGTGCGCTTCAGCATGCGCTGCCCCCGCTCTGTCATTTTATGTGGCCTACCACTTGGTGGCTGAGTTGCTGTTGTTCCCAGCTGCTTCCAATTTATTATAATACCGCTAACAGTTTAGCGTGGAATATATTAATAGCAAGGAAATGTCACGGATGGATTATTACACAGGTGACAACCTATCACGGTACCACGCTTGAATTCACTGAGCTCCTGAGAGCGACCCATTCTTTCACAAATGTTTGTAGAAGCAGTCTGCATGCCTAGGTGCTTGATTGTATACACCTGTGGCCATGGAGGTGATCAGAACACATGAATCCAATGATTTGGAGGGGTGTCCCAATACTTTTGCCAATATAGTGTGTGTATATGTGTGTGCGTATGTGTGCGTATGTGCGTGTGTATATATATATATATATATATATATATATATATATATATATATATATATATATATGAAGACTAGGAGTATATCACCTATCTAGGCTTGTAACGTATCCCCAGCCTCCAGAATACCAGGTGTAGGCCAAAATGGAAGCCTATCCACTCTGTAAAAATCATGAAAATGTAAACATCTGCACGCCCATAACATACGCTTTTTCATCCATCATAGATCTTGACAAAGCCCACTCTGGCCTTGGCTTGGACCCCCCCCCACTCTGAAGTGTTTTACCTTTGTGCAAGCTTCGCTCTAGAAATGATCTACTATTCAGCCGGCACAAGCCTGAGACATGTTAGAGTGGGTGATCCTAGGCAGTGTTGTAATGTGCTTTGTCAGGTTCAATAAATCTGGACGAAAGACCGTATACGTTATGGGAGTGTGGCTGTTTGTCTTTCTATATACATAGAATAGTAAGATATAAAAAATATTTAAAAGTAAATAATCGCTTTCTCTTAATAATCGCCCCTTACCTTGCTAATAATATGCAAATAACAGGCTCTCTTTATAGCAGTCGTAGTTAAACTGGCCATACACTGCTCGAATTTTGTCCATTTCAGCCGATTCAAGCTGTGGGTGACTCTTTCAACATCCATCCCACCCTCCCTGATTAGTGTTAAATATTCAGTCAACTTTTATTGAAGGAGCTGGGTGGAAAATTCTTGCCGAGCAGCAATTGCATCCAATCAGATGCAAGCATTATTCAGGTATTCGATGGCTGCTGAAAACAGTGGCTAGAAGCTGACATTCCTGTATCCAAACTGCTTAGCATAGGTGGGGGAATCTATCTCAACCTCATGGGGCTGGAAATTAAAAATGTGTATGGACAGCTTAAAGGATAAGTTCACCTTTAAAAAAAAAAAATAAAAATAATGCGCTTTTTTTTGCAGGTAAAAAAAAAATGCGCAATTATTTTTTTTTCTCAGGAGCTTGTAAAGCTTGCACCTGCAATCAGCAGATTGTGGGTGCAATTTCACTCAAGACAGCTGTCTGCCTGTACCTTCAATACAATCAGGCAGTTTCAGAAGTCCAGGAAAGTCAATGAACTACAAGATTGCTCCCCAGCGCCCCCACAGTTCATTGAACACTACAAGTCGTTCTCTGCAATGGCAGACAGTAATTGTAGTTCATTCAGTCACA